GTAATCTTGTTTTTGTTGTAAATGAACCTGGTTGATTTCCGTAATGAATAAATTAATATGAATTATATTTTTAAATACCAGGAATTGTTTATTAGTGATATATCAGAATCAAGATAGGTAGTTGTACTAGGAAAAAGAAAAATAATAGTCGTGTGTTAATGTTTCTGTTTGGTATAATTCATAGACGGGAAAAGAATAAGTGATATATTTTTTTAGGAGACTTGCGTTATGGGAAGTCGTATCTGGTTTTTTTTGAATGAGTAGATTGGTTGATTGAATCGTAGTTTTTCTCATGTGTGGGTTTTTTGTTGGATTGAATAAAATTTGAAAAATAGTGAAGGAAGAATGAACTCACCTAGTCGTGTATGTTGTAGTAGAAGTAGGCATGCACCAAACCCAAACCGTTTGGGTTTGGTGAGTTTGGGTATTGAGTTTGGGTTTAGGTTTGGGTTTGGGCATTGAGTTTGGGTTTGAGTTTGGGTTTGGGTTTGGGTATTGGTTTTTTGTTCGAATTGTATGCGTCTTGGTTTGTGCATAGTGCTGAAGTAGGCAGTATCCATGTAGTGCATCATGTCATATTTAATTGTAGGACTGCGATTGGTATATCACATAAAAATAAAATTAGGATTAGAAAGTCTTGGGTTTTAGCGAACTTCCGACTTAATGTTCAAATACCATTTACAGTGAAATCTTTTAGTCGTGTTTCAGTAGCCTATACATATCTTGCAGCTTTATAAACCTATCTAGAAGAGTCCATATTGTATTTAAACTTTAGTATGATTATTTGATGTATCTTTATAACAAAATATATTATTACTATTTTCTTGTAATGTAATAGGTATATAATAATTTGATTGAAAACATTTTCAGCTTAGAATTTCAATTACTTACACTGTACTTTCTACAAAAGAATCGTGTTTTAACGTGTTGTTCGAATTCTTTTATTTCAATCAAGATAAACACACAAAGAAGTACCATAAAGACAAAGAAATAAAAATTTTCAGATACAATTGTATTAATGCTGACCACTTTAGCATCCTTTTTTCTTTCAGTTTTACAGCTTGTCTTTTAGGAATACTGACATCGCTAGATTATCAGGTGATAATCGAGAACGTTCTTTTCTTGCATAATGTGCAGAGATAGAAAAAGCCGATTCGCTTTGAATGCTGGTAGCAGAAGCTGATAAATAGCACCGAGCCATATCTGATAATAATGGTAAATCAACACCATGTTGTTTCCAAAAAATTAAAGGATCAACAAATTGATTATCGATAAAGATTCCCGAAAAAATTATCGCACGTCGTTTAGTTTAGAGATGTCATTTACTGTTCAATTAATAATAAATATAAATTATAATAAATTTATATTTATTGTAAATGTAACTTAACACGATTTACATTTAAAAGTAAATATAAATCCTGTGGTAAAGTATTTTACATTTTTAATAAATATCTCATAATTTAATTTACATGTAAATTAAATGAAAAAGTAAATATTAATTGAAACTTCTTGTTTAACTTGAATTAATATGGACTTCGATTAAGAATACTTTGTCTAATTTAAGAAAATTTTTCATAGATCTTTCGAATGACTGCATCTATTCAGTTCAATGAAAATTAACTTTTCAGAAGAAAGTAACTGTCGTGACACAATAGAAACTATCCGTATATATGTAGCTTAAAAAAAGGTCGATTTTCGTATTGTATGAGCTTGACATACTTCTGATATTTATCACTCTCATAATTTATTTTCCACCTTGTTCACAATTATAATCGAATATTCGATAAAAATTCGAAAGTATAAACTGAGAATTTTGTAGATAGAGATGTAGTGTAGTGTAATATCAAACTCAAATTAAAACTAGCAAAAATTTTCGTTAAAAAATACGACAAGTCCAATTATTTGATTAATTATGACGAACATGTGCGTGATTTTTTACAAACCTCAGTCACCCAATATCGCTTAAGCATTACATCTAAAAATGATTTTCATACGTACAATTTAGTTACCAAATTTCGATATTTTCTTATATCTGATTGGATTGTAGATGTGATTGTTGATTCTTGAATAAGATCTTTATTGGTGGTTCGAAGAAAGCTTTGCCAAGCTTTATCGATGTTATTCATTTTTTTTCATTTGTTGATTTGATGATGACGAAGAATTTTCTGATGATGAGAACACATTTTTGTGTAGTTTTGTTATTTCTCTTTCTACTGTTGTTTGTTCGCCTCTTGTCAGAGCCGAAAAACCTGTTGGATCAAAATATGAGTACAACTGGGAAAAATTACAGCTAATTCATGTAAGAAATTAAAATAATGCGTATCACTTACTTTTAAAGTATTGAATTGTTCTACATCATCAATAATATACTGTCGAAATTTATTCAATATAATTTTTTTAAAATTATTTAACAATTCATTATTATCTTCTTTTGTAAGATGTTCTTCAAGACCTTTCATAAGATACAATGCAGATCCAACAGTTGGATATTTTGTATTACTTAAAACTTTTGTGGCTGAATAAAAAGGATATAATAAGCTAATAATCAAATTTAAAATATCCCATTCATCAGTTGACAATTCAACACGTGTTAATTTTCTTCTTAATTTTACTGCAAGGCCAAGAGTTCCTTTTGATTTGAAAAGATCGTTTATAAAATTACGATAGAGGCTAATTGTATGCAGCATCTTATAGGTGCTGTTCCATCGTGTTTTTACATCAATGAGCAAACGTCGTTTGATTTGTTTCTGTTTCTTAACACGAGCATTAAAATGTAATCTTTTTTTTTCAATAAAACTTGTTAATATTGATGATCCTTTTATGGTGTTAACTATTTCACGTGTTTTATCAATCATGTCTTTTATCATTTGTGGTATATAATCAAGTGATGTTTCGTTCATATTAATTCCTTCAACAAAATTATCAACTATCTCTTCGTGATTATCATCTTCTTCATCCGTCCACTCTTCATCTGTTGCTGCATCAGTTAATTGATCATTCAATTCTAATTCACCATCGACATCATCATCTTCCTGCATAGAAAATTAGATGTTAAAATAAATAACCTAATACCTTGATTCTTGATAAATTATTATAAAAAAACTCAAATTTGTAGCTCACTATTCTATTCCGTTACTCATACAAAAATATTTCCATTGAGCACGACTTTTCGAGGCTGAAGTTTTAACGAATGAATAGTCCTAATCGAAGGCACTTCTATACCAAATTTCACCTCGGCACGTCAAACTGGACCAAACTTATAACTTATCTATAAATAATTTATAGCCTTCAGGTCAACAATCAAAGCGTTTTCACTACGAAGAGTAGAGAATCCAAATGACCTCGTATTACAGCCTACATATGTGTGCAATTTTTCTTTGAACAGAATTTAAAATTTTTTTTTTTCATTCATGTTTTATGATTATTTTAATATACATGGCGTTAAAAAATGTGAAAAAAGGCCACTTCAAGACACTAAATCATGAATATCTCGAAAAAGAAAACAACTATAAAACGATCTGATTGAAGAAAATTTTTATTTCATTTTGATCTTTACAATGAAAGAAACATTTGTAACTTGCTGCAGATAGTATAAGTTTTAATTTCTTGAATAAAAAATTATCTTCTGAGCAAAAAAGGCAAATAACTTTAGACATGAATTTGTTTTAGATCCAGAGAAAATAAAATATGTGAAATATTAAAAGTTTGATAGGATTTGTAAGCTAGTTTCATGTGTGATATTTAAATTCTAGAAGGTTGTTTATCCAGCGATAGTGCAAATAAAGAATAGTCTACTAAAAATAAAACAACACGAAAGTCTTTCTGAAGACTGGCTAGTTCGAAGTAAATCTTCTCCGAAAGTCTGTTCGAATTTAGTCTCTTTTTGAAGTTATTTATATTCTGAGGAAGGAAATTTTGCGGCGTCTTCCGCTAGAAACAGCTCGACTTCAATTAATTTTCCAAAAACAGATTTTCCGATAAGGAATTTTGCCAATAATAGGATTGAAAACTTATTTTTTTTAGACACCTAGGATTACAATTAATGTTGATGAATGATAGACTGTCTTTTTGTGTACTCAAAAAGTGAGTACACTCTAGAATCGGTCAGTGTGTCCGTCCGGCCGTCCGGCCGTCCGTCCGGCCGTTTACACGATAACTTTTGAAAGGAGAGTCCAATCGCGATGAAATTTTCTACACAGTTTAGTCTCAACAATATCTCGGTCGAGTTCGAAGATGAGAAGGATTGGCCGAGCCGTTCCTGAGTTATTGAAAAAATACCCATTTTTCCCTAAGGCTGCCTATAGGAAAATCGACCTATCTCCACATTCGTAAAACACTTTTCCTGTCATAGTCAAATGAAACCCCAACTATTATAGACCGTTCGATAGAGAATTTCACGAGCTACAAAATGGTATATAAAGCATCAAAAATTGAGCTGAAAATTTTGGGCCAAGGAAAGGGTTTTTTGAGAAAATAGCGATATTTTTATAAAGGTTGGCGAAAGCAAATCGGGGTCGAGGAATCTGAATCTGAAGTCAGATTTTGAAAATTTTGAACTCCATTTTTTGGATGAAAGGAAGGGTTTTTTAAGAAAATAACGAAATTATATAAAGGTTGGCGAAAGCAAATTGGGGTCGAGGAATCTGAATCTGAAGTCAGATTTTGAAAATTTTGAACTCCATTTTTTGGATGAAAGGAAGGGTTTTCTAAGAAAATAACGAAATTATATAAAGGTTGGCGAAAGCAAATCGGGGTCGAGGAATCTGAATCTGAAGTCAGATTTTGAAAATTTTGAACTCCATTTTTTGGTTGAAAGGAAGGGTTTTTTAAGAAAATAACGAAATTATATAAAGGTTAACGAAAGTAGATCGGGGTCGGTGAATCCAAATCTGAAGTCAGATTTTGAAAATTCTGAACAAAAGTTATTGGGTTAAGGAATCGTTTCTTGACTTTTTGAAGTACACATAACACTCGGATTTAAATCCGAGGTTTCCTCATTTATTTTATATTACAAAACAATTGTTGCTTTTGTTATGCATATGTGATACTGTCTTTAAGTGGTCATAGCCTCCATATAAAACTTATTGAGAGCCATATTTTTCACAATTGTTTCTTTTTTCCTAAAAGCAAACTTGAAAATTTTCTACTAAAGTGGTACTCATTAAATATATATATTTCAATACAAGAGAAGTTTCTGTATTGATTAAAAACCTGTTGCCATTTGAAAGAGGTTAATTAATTACTAATTACATACTCTGAAGCGAAAACTGGAGTTAAAAAAATTCACTTATTCAAATAGTTCGCCTTTTCAATGCAATTAAAGTAAGGATTAATATGCCATACTTGATTACGAGGGTAATTCGGCAAAATTTTTTCTAACTCGATACAATCTATAACTCTTAATTGTTTAAGTTACCTGATGATGAATATTCTGCAATGAAATTTACAGAACAAATCGTCATCAGCAACTGGCTGCAACTATACTTTGTATTCTTTAAATGACCTGCTATTGTATTTACTTCTTACTACTACAAAATTTAGACTTGATCTTGAAAACTAAAACTGAAGGGAATATAAATTCATAACTTACTTTTGATGTTTCATCACCTTCACTGTCATCATTGTTCATATCATTAGATAATGGATCAGCATCGAAGGACATCGTTCTCACCATTTGACTTAAACTACCTCCAGCTTCATCTTCATCATCTTCAATTACACCAGCATCAATAATTTCTTCATTTTCAGTTGTATTTCCTTTTTTCTTTGTTGTAACCCAAAGGTTTAAGCTGTTGCAAATAATTAGGTGCAACTTGTGAGCAGTACAATGTATATATTTTATACTTTGACGAGAAAAATAATTGAGCATCTCGCGCATATTAGGTGCGCCGTCACATGTAATGGTGACTAGTTTATCATATAAGTTCAGGTTAATTAATTGATTTTCAATTTCATTTGCAATAGTTGATGAATAGTGACGATCTTCAAATTTCATAAATTGTAAAATTTTTGAATGTTGATCGAATTTTTTGTCAACATAATGTCCTGTAATTACCAGGTACGAATTATTTTTTCGGTCTTTCCAAAAATCACAAGTAATGGATAAATATTTAGCTTCTTCAAATTCAATTTTCGTTAGATTATAATGGTGTTGATGAAGACGTTTCAGTTGCTTTACCACCATGTTTCTGTGTGGTGGTTTGTAATCTATTAGAGAGTAGAAATTTTAAATGATGAAGCTATATTTTTTTCAGAAAAAAAAACAACAAATAAAGTTCTGAAGAAGTATGATATATGTAAACTTTTTTCAATTACAGATATTTTTATACTGCCAAGTTTAGATTCAACAATGTTGTCTTTCTGTTAAAAAATAAATAAATTTCACTTATTTGTTTAGTAGTAGTAACTTATTTTGTCTGATTTTAGCAAAGAGGAAGTCTCATAGTAATCGGTCGGATAGGTTCCTTGAAGTGTATATAACCTATCAAATCTTACTACGATCCACTTAAATTCAATATGATTCATTAGAATTAATTATAGTTCATCAGAATCTAGGAGATGTCGTAAAGTTCATCACTGATTTAAATTCAACGTTGAAAGTACGGATTCTTTTAAATCTCAAGTCTACTAAATTCATCAAGATCCACTGAGATCCATAAACATCCAGCAACATTCATATTTCTTACATGCATCTTTTCTTTCTTACCTAAAACCTAGAGAATAAACTATTCCTATGTTTTTTTTATTTCTCTCAGTTTTTGATAAATTCTAATGGATTCAATCTACTTTAGTAACCTTTGATGAATCTTAGGAACCATTACGATCCAACCTTTTCTCTCTTAGAAATTAATCGATTGGAAATTGCAGACAAGAACTTGAAAATATTATCAGAGATCAGTTCACATTCAAGAATCTTGAAAATAGAAAATTTCTAATGCATGAACTGAAGAAATTTTGAAAAACTTTTGTAGGAATCATATACTCTTATTTATTTTATTGTTGCTAAAACAACAGGGTTAACATGGAAACAAAGATATAGAAAGAATTATGTTTACAATGCATCATAAAATTAAGAGATCCCTTGTTAATATAAGTGAGAAAATTGATTTTTTTGTCAGTTTATCACTTCCGTCTTCTTTTACTTAGAATCTAATTCAGAATGTTTCCTTTGTGACAAAATCTGAATCGTTGATTAATAGAAATGTGAGAAATAAAAATAAAACAAATAATACTAAAAGAAAACATAATAGAAGTTGTAACCACATAGTAAAGAAAGGTGACACGTAGTAACAGTTGATAAAATGAGAAATGTTACTCATTTATTAGATACATATAGAGAATATAAAAGAAAAAACGATAATTATATTTTTATTAAACTAGATTTGTTCTGTTTACTACTATTATCCTATATATACAATGCTCCTATAATCAGTTTTCAATGTTTTCTAGAACATATCATTAAGTTTTGATACTTATTATAAATTTTTGCTATTCTTGATTCAAAGTGTGGTCATTACGAGATGATGGAATTCATAAATTAACTCAGCTTATTTTTTATAACGAATCGAATTGTTTCTAAGTTTATTATGCTGCAAACACAACTTTAACTATGGAAATATTTTTCTTCCTATCTTATTTACTAAACAACAATCAGAAACTACTCTTACTTGGTTTCAAAGTATCAATCAATTTCTTAATACCAGGTTTCTGTAAATCACCATATCCTCTAGCATCTTGAATGATTGCATTTACAGCTAATAAGTCCAATGCTTTTTTTTCTGGTTTTGATATTTTATTAGAAATAGTCGATGAACTTGGTACAGCAGATGAATCAGTCTGTTTAATATTATGTACTTGTTCTAGGTGGCGTTTAAGAGTTGATGTTCCGTAGTTCGGTGTTGATAATATATGTTGACATAGTAAACATTTGGCTTTTAAAATTCCGTTTGAAGTACACCTTTCGAAATATTGCCACACACTAGATTTTGAAACGCTTTGAGTAACGTCTTGATTTGGTGATGTTTCAGTCGATTGTTCATCAGATGAAGTTGCTGGCAATATATCAATGCTTTCATCACGTGATGAAGATATTCGAGAATCAGTTGTATGACGTCGAGTTTTCATTTAAATGTAAACAACAGTTATTCTTGATCATCAGCAAAAAAAATAATTAGATTCATTAGATTTGTTGGTATTTATACATAGTAAAGGAAAGAGAAAAAAAATCAAGTATTATTCGAACAGTACGTTTCCATATAACAACACAGGAAAAAGAAAAATGTTTTTTTGAACCACGAAGCTGGATTCATTCATTTAATTATGGGTGAATCCATGGAGACCCATCCACTTTTTGGAAAGGTCTTTTTTTTCGATTTTTTTTTGTTCAAAAGGCTGATCTCAACTAGAAAACACTTTTGGCCAAAAAAAATTAAATACTCTCTATCAAAAATTCCGAGTTTCGAGCATTTTCTCGGAACACCTATGGTGTACTTTTATATATAGGGAAAATGGCATGAAATAGGATAGAAATTTTTTAAAAACAATTTTTTCGGATTTTTTTGGTTTTCAAAAATATAAACAAAGTCT